GATACGAGTAAGATTTCCCTTACCTGAATATAGAAATTCCAAATATTCCATCAAGTCTTTAACTGTTTCACAATGGCCAACTAACCCAAGCACATCCCCATCAATTGAGTTCCGGATTTGGAGGAATAGTCGAGCATCATCCCTCAACCACACTTTCTTAGTAGTTGCATCCTTAGGAGGATCATCAGTCATATGATCGTCCTTGTCAGTACTTCGGAGATATAGTTTAATAGTCGTAACCCATTCCAGATAATTAGAGGAATTAAGTTTCCTCTCTGTGATTTTTGACATGACTGGAAAAACTTCAGTGATGACACTAGACTTATCACCCATTTCAATGGACTAAAATTTGAACAAAACCTGATCGGCAGAGGAAGACAGAGCAAAAATCACCAACTGAATGTCCAAACTGAGTCTGCACAGGTGCTTAGATGACTCAGGCGACCCTGACAGTGATTTTTGACAGTGGATCTGACGTGAGGTCTCCAACGAAGGAGAGATTCTCCAGAATTGTTCTCCTGCAACGTGCGACTCCACCCACGGTGGCGGTGACGTCAGGCGAGCACCCTTAGAGACAGCGTCAAAATGGCAGATGCCCCCCCCCCTTTTTACAAATAATGAACCCTAACCGTAGAGCACACTGGCTCTGATACCATGTGACTGATAATCAGAGGTTTTCCTCATAATACATAATTACATATTACAAAATGACTATATATATACATAAGAAGGGTGCTAATATAAGGAAACTATATCTCCCATATTAATGCCTAAATCACCCATATTAATGGCCAAATCAGATTCTGCCATATTCTCAGGACTTAACTAAAATACTAATATTATTACTAATAACAGATTGGTTCAAAGTCTTTTCTGGGAGAATTTCGGGCTTTGCTGGGGTTGTCTGAACCGAAAGAAAAGGATGTTATTATCAGTGTTTTAGCTATCACACAGATAGTTTGGATTTTGGAAAAACGGTCCATTGCTAATGGTTTAAAAGAGTCATTTTAGATAATGTTTTAGCTTTTATTAAAAAGTGGACCAAGCGCCAGTTTTGAAAGATGGAAAATGGCTTCTGGAAAATGATTTATCGCGTAAATTCATTTCTTTGGTTGGAAGTTTGAAAAATGAAAAACATAACTTGTTTTCGTTGTTATAACGTAATAAACGTCGAAAACAAGCAGAAATCAATCTTCCAAATAAGGATTATTTTCGACTGACTCATATTTTTCGGAACAACTGAACATCAGAAAATTGGAAAAATTACTTTTGGAAGTCATTTCTCCCATTTCCAAACAGACCCTAAATCAAGATGGCACTTAAACTTACCTTACCTCTTACTTTCTATGGATTTCTGGGTAGTAAATGCAACAATGCATGCAGGGTCTAAGAGAAAAAACCTCTTTGTTTTTTTCAAGGGTAAGCTTGTGTACATCTTGACCCCCAAGACCCTCAAGATGAAATTCAGTTTATACTGAGCTATTGTGGAGAGTTTGGAAGACTTTACACAAATTAAATGGCATCGGTGTTTCATTGGAGAAGAATTTTTTTTTTTGGTTTCTCATTTTACATTTTTGGGCTTTGAGAAAGATTTTTGCAGGGAATGGTTCTTCTCTATCTCCTTGACTTTTGTGCCTCCTTTACAACTAACTTTGAATATGTTATAGTACCTCTTGGTGACCTTTTCAGAATATTGTTGCTTTCTTACTTGCACTAATGACATTTCTATTGTCCTTTCTCCATATGAAAGGTTTTTTTTTATAAATTGTGACTTATTTGATCTTGAATCTATTTAATATGACATAGTTTTTAGCTTGTACTATCTTTTACATGCAACTTACTGCATTCTCTGAAACGCCAGATGGTTGAAGATGCTGTTCACTTTCTTAGTAAGGAAACTGTAGTCCAGGCAATAGCTCGGTCTGCCACCAAGGTGCTCTACTTCTGCTAACAACTCGGCTTTATAATAAGTGATGCTACTTTTTTACTTCCTCCCTTTTGGGATAAAAAATCGAGGTGTGCAAGTCTCGATCCAAGACTTGAGTAGCCTAATGACCAAGGTGGACCAGACCGACCCAACTAGGACCGATCTAGTTTGATCATGTCCTTCGTTCTGCCAATATGCCCACAGTTGGTCTTTTGTCAGGTCCGGTCTGGTAGGTCTTTGGTTTGGACTGATTGGACCGCTTTTTTGTTTTTTATTCTGTAACTTGAGCTTACACCATGCAAATAAAAGAAGGTTATTTGTATTGATATTCATAAATAATACATAGTACTACGATTAAATCACTTTTACATCATCTCATTTAGTTTATTTATTTTGGACGAAGTAATGTTCTGTAGAGAAATTAAGTTCATATAAGATTTAATTGTATTGTATTTTTTTAGTTAACACAATCGTTGATATTTAAATAACAAAATATACTTTGTTATCAAAATAAGAACTAAATATAATGAGATTTGCATTTAAATATAGTACACTATTTTTAATTTTATGATATGTTTATTTTTAAAAAAAAATTGTGTCAGATTTTTAAATAGCGATATCATGCTTTTAAATTTAACTGCCTGTTTCTAACCTAAAAGCATGTTTTGTATTCAGACCAGAAACGCTTTATCTGGAACTTACTCTGCTCCCCAGAGGTCTGCCAGCTCAGCTGCTCTTTTGGTTGGGGATCCTGCTGTAATTCGAGATAAAGGAGGCAATTTTGTACTTCCTAGGGCTGATGTCATGAAATTAAGAGATCGTTTGAGAAATGAAGAATTAGCTGCTGGATCTCTTATGTCTAGGTTGAGAAATAAGACC